CACAAGACCCTGGACAATGAGCGTTCGCTTTTTAACCTTCCATTCACTCCTCATCCCCATGCAATCTGGCTTCTGGACATGTGATGTTGCAACGTTTAAGACTGAAGCAAATAAGTAAAACCAGCTGTCTTCTATTGAGCCCGACATGGAGACGCGGAAAAATCCAAAGATTTTCTCACTGAGAGAGAGACATCTGAGTAAAGACCAAAGAGGTGAGAGAAACTGAAAAGAGAGTAAAACAGGATTTAAGAATTGCTGCACACTGCATATTCGTATGTGTTAAAAATGCAATTAAAAGTAATTCTTTAGGGGCACCTGGGTGGCTCAGGTGGTTAAACATCTGACTCTTGGTTTTGACTCAGGTCATTATCTCACCATTTGTGAGTTTGAGCCCCATGACGGGCTCCGCACTGACAGCGCGGAGCCTGCTTGGGATTCTTTCTTTGCCTCTCCCTCTGCCCCTCCCCTGCTCACTTGGACTCTCTTTTCTCTCTCTCTCTCTCACCATAAATAAATAAATAAACTTAAAACAAAAAGTCAGTTTTTTGGGTTGTGTATTTTTGGAAAATACACTGTTCAGAGATAGTGCAAAGTGGCAATCTATTCCATTTGGTTGCAGAGGTCATTTTAGAGTCTCTGATCTTTTTCCTTTACCTCCAAAATACATATATATCTCCAATTTTTTACTTGCTTTTTATGATCTCAGTGGGTTAAAAAATGGTGGTTTATTACTAGTGCAGCTTAGTACAATGCACTTGGCCAGGACGGGGAAGATGCTGTGTGCTCCCACAGTGAACCAAAGAATGGGTGCACTGTCTGGAGAATTGAAAAAAAATTCAGTGTTTATTTATTTATTTTGAGGGAGAGAGAGACACAGTAAAAGTAGGGAAGGGGCAGAGAGAGGAGAGAGAAATCCCAGGCAGGCTCCACGCTGTCAGCACAGAGCCTGATGTGGGGCTACAACTCACGAAACTGTGAGATCATGACCTGAGCTGAGATCAACAGTCAGACGCGTAACCGACTGAGCTACCCAGGTGCCCCTGCAAATTCAAAACTGACTCTGGGGTGCCTAGGTGGCTCAGTTGGTTAAGCGTCTGACTCTTGATCTTGGCTCAAGTCGTGATTTCATGGTTTCGTGAGTTCAAGCCCTGCATGGGGCTCTGCACTGACAGTGCGGAGCCTGTGTGGGATTCTCTCTCTCTCCTTCTTTGCCCCTCTCCCACTTGCGTAAGCATGCTCTCTCTAAAAATAAATAAATAAACTTAAAAAATATGACCATGAAATGGAATAAAAGTCAACTGCTTTTAGTGATCACCATGAGCTAGTGTGTCTAGACAATGTCATAGACAACTTGGTCCACCTTGCTGGACATTCTAAATAATTGTTACATTGACCTAGAGTAGGGTGCTCCCAGTGGCTTGTCCATGATGCACCATGACCACATCCAGTCATTCAGGAACCCAGACTTCTCCCATTGAGTGGCTCCAGCTTCTCTAAGGGTCTTGGGGCCTTACTGGATCTCTGCATTCAGTGGCAGACATTCTGGAAGTGTCAAGACTATGGGGACATTGAGAAGAGCAGTGGTTCTCAGGGGTTGCGGAGAGGAAGGAACGAACAGGCAGAGCTCAGATGGTTTTAAGGGCAATGAAATTCTTCTGTACTGTAATGGGGGGGGGTGCACATCACATACATTTCACAAAAGGCATAGAGTGTATGACACCAAGAATGAACCCGAATGTACACCATGGACTTTGGGTGATAAGGATGTGTCCATAGAGGCCCATCAGTTGTAACCAATGTACCATCTGGTGGGGATGTTGATGCTGGGGGAGGCTGTGCATATGCATGAGTAGGAGATCTATGGGAACTCTGTGTGCATTCGGCTCAGCTTTGCTGTGAATCTCAAACTCCTCTCAGAAAAAGCTCTATTAAAGACCAAAAAAAGGAGGAAAGTACATTGTTGAGAATATTCTCTTCGACCATAAAAAACAAATAATCTTGTTTGTTTGTTTGTTTATTTATTTATTTATTTATTTATTTATGTATGTATGTATTTGAGAGAGAGAGAAAATACAAGTAAGCGAGGGTAGAAAGAGAGAGAATCCCAG